CCAACAAACCCAAACCTACAAATTAAGACTTGTTTGAAAATGTCAATGACTGTTTCTCCCCAGTCTTCTTGTGGTCTGGTGGGTCTATCTGGATTTCTAGTTTTGGCCTTTTCTGGGCTGACCTGTCCTGTAATATAGTTAAGACCCCAACTATAATACTTTGCACAGAATATTTAGTCCCCTTTGCTGAATACATGTTAACTCTAAAATAATCTATAAAACAGAAATCTTATTGCCTCAATCATATTTTATGTTTCTATTTAAATACTATCACACAGATCATTAAGAATCTTTGTTTTTAGTATCCTGAGCTTTTAAATGTTATTAGTGGTCCATTAACTGATGTTTGGAAGATTCCCGCCAACCCCCCAATCTGATTCTTCCCTCCCAGGTAATTATTATAATACCAAATCCTTTATTTTTAATAATTGAATCTAATTACAATTCTCATAAATCTATCAATTTATTCATCAATCAAATATTTAATGAATACCAACTACTCTGGTACAAAACAAATACGATATACTTCCTATCCAAAAGATATTCCCATCTTGTTTAGGAAAAATATACGAAAATAGGAAATGACTATATGATAAAAATAAGAACAGAGGAAATACACCTAATAAGGGTAGAAAAGGGCAAATTAGACTTTCTGAGGAAATAACATTCTTACACTATTTGAAGATTGTGATGTTTTTATCCATTCCTAGATACTTGGCAAAAATGATGATGCTCCCTCAAGATAGCATCGATCATACTGTTAAAGAGACAGCCCTTTAGCTTGGAGAAATTCTGTCTTGAAGACCTGCTATGCAACCTTTTGTTACAAATGAAAAACATTTCAATTTGTGCAAGCAAATAAACATTTTTAGGAATTAGCTAAAGCCCCTAAGGTTAACACTAGGTCAGAAGAAGTCAAAAGTGTCTACAAAATTATCCACATTTACATGCTTGATGAAATTCGCAATTTGTGTAAAAACTCTTCTGTTTCACGAAACACAA